GTGTGTATGCTTCCTGGAGGGGGAGATTATAATAAGAGTTGCATAAACATAGAATTAAAACAGGGTGAGCTTACAAATGGCAGTTCATGCCAACCCCGCAGCAAACAACAGCATCCTTTGTTAGTTGTTCCCTGGACACAGGGGCTGCTTTAAAATACCTCTAAAGGCTGTTTGATGCCATTCTCGTATCAGATTTCAGCTTTGCTACAAAATCCATTCTAATGACCCAGTGTTGTCCTTTTGTACATCTGATTTTAAAGAAAACAGAATATTTTGACCCAACACATCAGAGCACCCCTATAAAGAAACACTGGTGGGAGGTGAAATCTGGGTTTCAATGACATTAGAAATTCTTTTTTAAGATTTTGCAGCCTATAAGGATGCAGTTAGATTGCATTTGATCAAATTTAAAATAATTTTTTTTATAACAAAAGAGCCATCTTAATATTGCTCATTTTAAATAGGGATTTAAAGAACAGATAAGCATGACTGACACTATGAAAACTATGGTAGTTAACTATCAAATCTAAACCATGGACATTCTACTGAAGGGTTGCAGGGCTTTCACCACATATTTTAACACTGCACTATGACTTGCAATAACCCTGTCCTCAATATACTTACTTTACCTTTCAATGGGCACATGTGCTGCAAAAACGCACAAAAGCAACACAGTGAAAACAATATTATGTCTACTTTATAGATAAGTGATACAAATTAAATAAAGTGCTGATGTTTTGTATGTATTATTCACTTAATTTTACCTGAAAGTGAGCAGTGTTGCACTGCTACAGGTCACAGAATCTGACAGGTGTTTGTTTACCATGGCATTATTGAGTTAGCATGCATTTGCATAAGTCATGAGTCTTTTTTCCTCTACGATGCCTGTACTGTTAAAGAGATAGGCAAAAGAAACAGATTGAACAGAACATGAATAAAAGATTGCATAAGCCATCAATCATAAACTTGACTGTCAAGTATGTTAAAATACAAGGAATTTGACTTCAGCTCAATGGACCCCGCTGTCCACCAAATAAAACAGAAAAAGAAAAAACAACAAAGAAACTAGTAAAAAAAAAAACAGAACAAACAACCATCTATGCACCATAGTGACATGTTCCAAGTCCCAAGGAGGGCTGCTGGTCCGCCGCCTAAAATGTCCTAACAGCTTTCACTATTGGTAAAAACAGGAGAAAAGATTTTCAGAAGCTCATCTCTAGCAAAAGTAATCTGGGCAGGGTTACAGGATAACCCACCGAAACGACAACAAACACAAAAAAAGCACATGGGAACACATAACTGAGGCAGGGATTAGTTTTGCCACCAAGCTTAAAATTGATACTGGAAGCAGTGATCAGAACCTCTCCCTTGCAGCCAACCAAAAATGCAAGCACTTTAGTTTTTGTGTAAGGCAGACCTTTGTGGTTAGGGATGTCAATGATAGAAGTGGAATTAAAGAGAGGGATTATGTTCTTTTAAAAGAGCTTCAAAAAAAATTGCGCTCATTTGTGAATGAAGTGTGTGGGTGCGGCGTGTACCCGGCTAGACAAAGACGGCCTTTTGTGAATGAATTTCCTGAAAGGCAGCACTATCAAGGCCTTGTTGCTCAGTGCGGGTGTGTTTGCGATTACATGCATAAGCACATGTTTACAGGCAGAGGAGCCACTCAGAGCTGAGAGTGAGAGAAAAACAGAGGAATGCCTGTTGAAAACTGCAGCCACATTGTTTTTGTTGTCTGTGATTGTGCTGTGTGTGTGTATTCATGGGTGTGTGTGGCATGTGTGACAGAAGTAATTGAAGCAAAGCTCTTTCCTCTATCCCCCAGTGCATTAGCAGTGTAAGATGCTCAGATGTGGGTGAGAGATTGCATTATCTAGTTCTATTCCTCAAAGCTTATGGATTCTTTATGGGACTGATCAAATTAATTGAGAGAATTATGAGTGCAGTCCACCTGCTCTTTTACTGAATCACAAGGGTCCTATGCAATGTTCTCTCACTTGAGTTGACTGATGTGAGAAACTTTGTGTGTCTTGCTGCCACTTGGTTATCGAAAAAGCCAAATAAAGAATGCACTTTTTATAATCATATTTATTGCCTTTATTATATAAAAATGCAGAGCACAGAACAAAATGAAAAACAACAATAAGTATGTCACATTCGCAAATAAAGCTGCCTGCTTATGGATACATGTATGTAAAATCCCTCTGAAGAGAATTAGCCTAGTGATTTGAAATTGCTGTGTCATTCCTGGTCCCTACCCACATCACACCAGTACTGAGTGTATCGGCCTCATGTCACTCAGTCCTGCGCGATTCCATTTCTGATATCTGCATGCAGAAACATTCATGATAGTGATAATCTTCTTTTCTCAGAAACCAGCTTCTTGACACTTAGCTTTGGAATGTACTGAGTAAAATAATCCCTTATTTATATAGATTGGCAATTGATAATTGCCCCCATTCTCCCCCACCCCCACCTCATCCATTAGGAGGTTGTGCTGATGGTCCTAATCTGTGTGTGTGTCTGTCTCTGTGCGTCCAGGTTGACCTGTTCACCATGTGCGGGCCTGTGTCCTAAACTGTGTTCGGGAAATAAGACGATTGACTCTGTAACTTCAGCTCAGGCTTTGAGAGGCTGCACTGTTCTCCATGGCAACATGATTATCAAGATTCGAGGCGGGAGTGAGTACTACTACACTGCACCACCTGCTGGGCCTTCTGTAGAGGCTCTGCTTCTCTCACTCTCTTTCTCTTTACTTCATTGCATCAGTTTCTTAGTCTGTTTTTCTCCATATCAGTACTTGTGTTCAGACTGACTTTCAAAGGTGTGAAAAAAACCCCAGCTCTGGAGTATTGTGGTCACCACAGCCAGCACCAGCACCACAAGGGGGCTCCAGCAAAATGACGCAACCCTGTGTGGCGAAAAACTTGGATTTGGTTCAATTTTCACTGCACTGGGCAGTAACATCATCTGGCAAAGGCGCTGCGTTGACCAATCATGTGCGGGGGGGCGATCGGGACATGTACACCCATGGGAAAAGGACTCTTTTGTTTACCTTGTTAGCATGAGCATTCACTGCTATTCACTGTCGAGTTTGGGCCACAGTTAAGGCAACGACACACCATGCATTTTCGTTAGTATTGGATGTTAAACAGTGTTTTTTTTTCTTTTATCTATCAATGCAGACACACTGGTAGTAGAACTGTTGCTAAGGTAAAGTAGGCTAGGCTAGCAGCATGGCTAACCAAAGCACAAAACACAGGGTGTTGTGATTTTACCGGATCAGTCTGAACATCCGCTTACTCATTCAGTTTGTCTGTCTGTCTGTCTTATTACTATCTGTCCTGTATTATGACATCACCTAGCTAGATGACCAAATGTCTATATTGCAGATAACATAGCTGCTGAGCTGGAGGCTAGTTTGGGCCAGATTGAGGAGATCACGGGCTACTTGACTGTACGCAGAGCCTACGCCTTGGTCTCCCTCTCCTTCCTCCGCAAACTACGCATAATCCGGGGCGAGCATCTTGATTCAGAGTAAGTCTCTCCCCCTTATACAAATTTAAGCGAATGGCATATTCCACATTATGTTTAATGCCTGTATTTGTCTTTCATCTGTCTCCCTCAGTGTTTACGCCTTTTATGCGCTGGACAACCAGAACCTGCGTGAGCTGTGGGATTGGTCCAAGCACAACCTGACCATTGAGCGTGGTCGTACATTCTTCCACTATAACGCCAAACTTTGCATGTCTGAAATCAGAAAGATGGAAGAGGTAACAGGAACCAAGGAGCGCAACCAAAAGAATGACATAGCTGTACGCAACAACGGGGACCAAGCCTTCTGTAAGATAACCAAAGCATCAGATTGTCGCTTAGTGTTTATGGGCTTGATGATAGCACTTCTGCCACAATGTTTATTTTCTGTACTGTTTTGTCCCTTAGGTGAGACCAGGCTGCTGAAATTCACCCTGATCAAGACCACATCAACCATGATCATATTGAAATGGGAGCCCTTTTGGCCCTCAGACTTTAGAGACCTGCTGGGATTCATGGTTCTCTACAAAGAGGCGTAAGTATCACACATGTGCCGTGACACAAAACAAACCATAAGTAATAAAAATTATAGTAGTTAGTCACAATGAATGAACAGCCATTATGCTCAATATGAAAGGTCTTTCTTAATGTCACTGTTGCCTCTGATGTTGTTAGTCATGATTCTTACGCCATCATTTTTTATGCACACAGCACACACAGTCTTCTGATGACTACTGGATGTCAAGAAATGTTTTACAGCTGAATAAAGATAAGACTGCAAAACGTGTAGTGGGTTCAAGAAACCAGAGATACAGTATAGAATGTATTCACACCTAGAATCACTTTCTTTGGAGTACAACCTTGGATTTACTTTGGGCTCTAATCTAACCTTGAGCATAATGTTGTAACTTAACCAGGACACTTATGGTATGAAATCCATTTCAAAAGTTTATCTCAAGTTTACTGTGATGTTCTGGTGACTTTTTCCCAACTACTCCAGGCCTTATAAGAATGTAACAGAGTTTGATGGGCAGGACGCATGTGGCTCTAACAGCTGGGCGATCGCTGATGTTGATCCTCCATCCCGTTCCACGGACGGCAAGAAGCCGGACGATCCAGGGCACCTGATCCGACCATTGAAGCCATGGACCCAGTATGCCATCATGGTCAAAACCCAGTTGTCTTCATCTGACGAACACCAGGTTAATGGAGCCAAAAGTGAGATCATCTATGTCCGCACCAGCGCCTCCAGTGAGTTACGTAATTTAAAACTACATGCATTTCAGGAAAATGTGCTTTTAGAGGTTGTGTGCTTTGTTTTAGACAGTGGATTCAATGGAAACTGTTGAATTGACTGACTTTACAAATGGATAATGATAATGAAGCAACTTTATACAAAGTCACAATTTTTGGACAGTGTCTTGGCTTAAAGGTGCCTTTTTCAAGCTGTACTGTTTACATCTATGTTTGCTTAGTAAAAGCCATTGTCCTTCCCACCTTTCCCTGGCATTACTATGTTTCTTAGTTTGTTACCGACACCAATTCCAATCTTTCCCTGGCATTACTATGTTTCTTAGCTTAGCCACCAATTCCAACGGTAGAGCAGTGATCAAGTGATTCATTGAGTTCCAAATTGTGTTTTAAGTTGTCTTGTGCAGGTGTTGTGCTGTACAGTATAGACTGATTTATGACTGTGTTAATATTTGGAGATCAGTGTTTTAGAAACTGCTTAAGTAGTTGAAATGAGCATGTATTCAGACCATAAACGTACATGTGTTAAAACAACGCAATGGACTGCATTGATTGGGTACATTGCTTCATGTTCTGGTGAGAAAATTGAATATGGTCCTAGAGGTCCAGTTAGAATAAGAGATCCATGGTTTAAAGGTTTATTATAGTACTCTTTTCTTCATTGTAATGATGCCAGGATTAACAGTACAGTACATAAATAAGTGACTGCAAATGAATAATGGCGGCTGTGTTTTTCCACATAGGACTAAAGTCAGTTTGAAAGCAGCCTAAGGTACAAGTGCATTCCTGACTGTTGCCTCACTCTCTTCCTCCATCTTCCTCAGAGCCCTCAGTGCCTCTGGACCCCATCTCCTCCTCCAACTCCTCCTCTCAGATCATCCTGAAGTGGAGGCCTCCCACCAGTCCCAATGGCAACATCACCCACTACCGGGTCATCTGTCGGAAGCAGGCTGAAGACAGCGACCTTTATAAGTTTGACTACTGCCTACAAGGTTAGCATTCCCATTCCACTTTGCCCAGGGGACTATTTGGAGATAAATCAGATACTGCTCACTTCACATTTGTTTGTCTGGTTTCCCTCACACTTCTGTTTCCCAGGAATGAAGCTTCCATCTCGTATCCCGACCCACCTGGACAGTGATGATGAGCAAAATTGGAACCGCACAGATGAGCCTGCCTCAAGTGGCAAGTGCTGTGCCTGCCCTAAGACAGACTCCCAGCTAAAGAAGGAACAGGAGGAAATAGAGTACCGCAAGACTTTTGAGAACTACCTCCACAACGAAGTCTTCGAGAGCAGGTACACATTTCTCTTGTAACTGATGTTCCTGTGTTAATTACTCCTGTGTGACTAGTATGTCTGGAGACCATTTGCAAACTGAATGGAGATGGTGTCGGGTGTTTTAAAGTAACAGTAATGTTTTTTATAAACACTAATGCATTTTATTTCACATTATTATTGTAGCTATGACATGTATCCTGAAAGAACTAGTGAATTAAGTCACTCTGGTTTTTCCCAAAAGGGAAATCAACAAGTTTCTGTTCTAGTTAGCGACAGATTTTACTCACTTGGACATATTGTATAACTTAATGGGCCATCAACAAATGATTCAAAGTTTGACTCTTGATCCTGGGAGTATCAGAATCTTAACTGGTTATACTTTGAATTGTTTTATTTCACTGCATGCTTTCATCACCAAGAAATTATGACGCCTCACACAACCATGAACAAAAATGTTTTTTTTAGTGTTTCGTGTGTCATGAAGATTGAACAGTCTAAAGTAACTGACCAACAGTCAGATCAAATGTACGAACATCCTTAATAATGACTGAAGTCAAGTCCAGCTTTAAGCTTTTTTCTCATCCCAGTAGAAATGGTATAGTCACTTACTGTACAGCAGTTTGCTCACAACATCTTTGTTTTGTACTTGTTTAAAAAGCTTGTTAACATTCAAAGCTCAGTCTATTTAGTGTCACACCAAGCTTTGCACCAATAGGAGCTCCTTGATTAGTTAGTGTCTCTTTGTGACCCCCAGTAAAGCCCCTCTATCCAGTCAGACTAGATCACTCCTCTTTTGTCTCAGCCACCATGACTTCTGTCTAAAAATGGCTCTGTGCCAACGCTGTCTCAGCCATCCGTGTGTGTGATTTACAGTATGTAGCCCCTTGCTTTTTTTTTACTGGGCACTGCTACTGTATGTGGGGCTCAGGGTGGGAGGTGTGGCTTGTTTGGTCCCTGGTGCCCCTACCCTTTTCCCTGACACACACACAATCAATCCCTCTGTTTCCCTAAAGCAGTGATTACTGTGCCAGTTATCATTCATGCCAGTCAAGGGTACAGTCATGCAGACTGCCATTTGGACACAAACACCCAAACTCACACACACCTCAGCTATATTTTGAACCCCTGCCACTGAATCGGCCAAGGTCAGCTCCATGCTCTGAAGTACACAAAGAATTCCGCATGCTCTCTTTTTCCATAATGCAAAGGGAGTGCTGGAGGCTTCCTACCTGAACAAGTACTGGCTCAACATTAACTCAATGCTATACTTCTCTGCATAGTGAAAGAGAGCAGTTTGGGGGAAAGCACACTGCTCAAGGACTTCTAAAACATAACACACTGATGGTGGTCATTTTTAAATGAAAAAAGAGTTTCCTAAAAACTCTAAAAGAGTTGTTCTACTTTTTCCTCTTCATTTGACCTTATCTGTGGCCTGTGTGCTGAGCCTACACTCACAGCCATTGGGAAGAAAGGGAACTGTGCTCATTGGCACCACCCAGTGGTGAGGCTCAGTAGCTTTTCCAACAATGCAGTAGGTAGAATTTGAGGATAAATGTCAGACTTGCTGCACAAGGTTAGTAAAGGTTAGTGTCAGCAGAGATCCTCACAGGTCTCCACCTGCCGTTTGCCGAGTCTAATCACATGAGATGTTTCTGACTTTCTTATCTGTAGATCTCCATCATACTTCTGTAAGTGGATAACACAAACATGATATTACCTTTTCAAACCTGCTAATAATTTCTCCAGACTTCTCTTTCCATCACTGATTCTGGCATTCATGTTGGAGGACTGTGAGCTGAGTCTCAGCTTTATCCTGTTTGTTTTCTGTGGTATCTTACTTCACCTCTGCTAAGTGATTTGCCTGGTGCACTGTTTGTCCAGGCCATCTCGTCGACGACGCTCAGTGGGAGTTGCAAATGCCACCCAAAACTTCCTCGCCACAGCTCCCAGTCTGGCATTTGGCTCCACCACAGCCACCCCCGAAGATGAAAACGAGGACGAGGAGGGATCCAAGGTCTCAAACACGCTATAATTTGTATACCATACAATTTTTTTTTGTATGTTGTTCTTGCGTAAAAGTAGTTGCTGAGTTTTCCATCTTATGTTTTTGGTTAAGAGAAGCCCATGTAAAATAAGAAGAAAGAAGAACTGTTTCCCTTTACAAGGCAGTGAAAACTGTCCTCTGAAGAATTTATTTTCAAATCGCTGAACTGTGGTTTTATTGATCATATTTAAAGCAGTTAAATGTGACAGTCTCCTATTTACATACTATGATTTGAGTGTAAAAATAAATCATTGATTGAGTAATTGGAGCTGCCGTTTTTTCTTCTCAGGTGGAGCTAAAGGTGTTCTCAAAAGAGTCAACAGTCATCTCCAACCTGCACCACTTTACGAGTTATAAGATAGAAATCATGGCCTGCAACCATATGACAGACCTCAGTCGCTGCAGCATGGCTACTTATGTCAGCGCCCGAACTTTGCCAGAAGGTAAGAACAAAGACAAATCTCACACTTTTTCACCAATTTTTAGGTACACCTACAGTAGCTTAAAATGGATACAGTCTATTACAACAATCCTGCAATAAATCCTACATTCATGAAAGTTATCATGTACACTTATGTAAAGAGGTATTTCTTCAGTTGTGTGGTCTAAGGGTGCAGTTTGTGTTGAGCTATATTATGCTGTACTGACAGGTGTTTCTATTATTTTGTCCACCCCATTTGTAGCTGAAATTTCCCCATGCATTATCATTAACAAAGTGTTCAGAATATACTTGGATAGTTAAAAATGTATGCAGGTCACATGTGCATCCAAAACACAGTGGATGTTAAGCTCCTGTCACAGCATCCAGAGGCTGGCAGAGACAGAAGTGCTTGTCTTTATATTTTTCTTCATGTCTGACACCTACAGAGAAGGCAGACGACATCCCAGGCCCTGTGACCCATGAAATAGTGGCAGCCGAGCCTCCCTATGTGTTGATTAAATGGAACGCACCACGCTCTCCCAACGGCCTGATCATCCTGTATGAGGTGTTCTACAGGAAGGTCGGAGACACGGAGGTCAGTATCAGCCACAGCTGATCTTATAGAGAATGAGGATTTTTGTCCGACTAAAGGAGACAGAAATGAGGGAGGGAGAGAATCAGCAGAAATTATCTTGATATGCTCTGTGGGAAGGTGAAATGTGGGGCTTAAAGGGAGACAGGCAGACAGGAAAACATGGATGAAGGTGAGAGGAAATGCAGAGAGAACCAGAAGTGATTTGGGTAGACTGGCGGGTTGCAGGCAGGCAGGAAAGGAAAGGTTTGCTGTTTACTGAAATTGTTCTAGTTCTTTACATGGTAGGAGGAATAAAGGAAATATTTGTTTGCATACTCCTGATGCTAGCACTATGTGTATTGACATTTTCCACTGCGTGTTTGCATATTATTATTTCTGTATGTTTGTGTGCATAAATGCTGGTCTGTGACAGGATGAGTGTGTTGTTGTTGTTTACTTGCTATAAATGTGTGAATTCATTTCTCATTGCTATTCACTGCTGCACTCCCTGACCCTAGGAGCCAGTAACAGCTCTGTTACCATAGTGACAGAGGCAGGCAGGAAGACTAGAATGCAGTGGCAGGCATAGACTGGCATCTTAGACGACATCTCCAGTGCACTGCGCTGCACTGAAAACACACCACTCATCAGCACAGCCTGCAGCCAAAATGCAATGAGCGTGTCACAGGTTCAGCTTAATTATTTGGTTTATTGCACAGTGGTGGTATATAGCAAAACTAAAAGCATTCAGCCAGTCATGCAAGATTTTAACATGCTTTTAATGCAGACCTCTGACTGACTGCCCTTCTAATTGGCATACACACTCAAGGTTGTGAATATTTAAAAGCAGCTTTACATGTTTTCTTCATTGACATCTGCCAGTTACAGTAAACTATTTACAGTAAACCACTTCAGAATTACATGCATTGCCAAACCTATGATAACAATGATGTTGTCTTCCAGCTTATGTATATTGCAATTCTTGCAGTCTAAAATTATTACTGTATCTCTCTTGTAGACTGTTGTTTATTACTGTTTAGTCTTATAGTGGAATGTTTTTAATCTTAATATTTTACTATAAGACTAGACTGTTGTTTATTACTGTTTAGTCTTATAGTGGAATGTTTTTAATCTTAATATTTTACTATAAGACTAGACTGTTGTTTATTACTGTTTAGTCTTATAGTGGAATGTTTTTAATCTTAATATTTTACTAAATTGCTGTATTTTTATTTAGATTCTCTTAGGTTGTTGTAAGGGACAAATAAAAAAAAAACAGTATTGGAGTCAACCTAGGGATGAGGAAGAATACCTCCCAGCATGCACTGGGACAACAGACTCATGGATATAAGTCTCATCTTATGTGTGCTCCTGCAGCTTTACTAGTGTTTTCCTCAGTATTTTAGACACTTACACTATTATACAAACCCAGTTAGACAGTGCACAGTGGGTAACTGTTTGAGTAACCAAGTGTTTGTGGTGGAGTGGCACTCAGTATGAGAGCAGAGGCACAAACACTGAATCTCAGATTACTGTTGCTTAACAGGCCAGAGGTTGCAAGTAGCAGTAATGTGAAAATACAGCTCTACACTGATACATTGTGTAGTTAGATCTACAAAAGGTACCTAGTGGTAAAATGCTTTTCCTTGACTTATAAATAAAAATCACTTTCAGTTAGATGAATCGAATTTTTACCGCCGTCTCATTATCAACTGAAGCTAAGGCAATTTTTTTTTCTGTGCCTTTTCAGTTCAGTAGTTCCTGTTTATTAAAATCACAACTTCTCTAAAACATGGTACAGCTTAGAGCATGTCTATATGTGCGCTTTATAGGTTCACAGTTGGCTGATGGTTTTGATAAAGCAGCTTTTACAACCTTGCTCCCTAATATTAGCATTTGTCATTATTATTTGTGATTTTGACACTGAAGTGTTGTGGGTTTTTTTATTTTTTGTTTGTTTGGTTTATTTTGTTTTTGTTTTTTCCCCTTCCCCTTCCCCTTCCAGGTTCACACAGCTTGTGTGTCGCGCCCTGCTTATATCAAGTCAGGTGGCACGAAGCTTTCACTTCTACAGCCCGGAAACTACAGCGTGAGAGTCCGCGCCACCTCCTTGGCAGGAAATGGTTCTTTCACAGAGACCACTTACTTCTTCATGCCCAACCGTAAGGCTGCATATCTGACTTAACTGAACTGGCATGAGTAACAGTCATGCATTGTTCACATGGGTCTCAAAGTTCATAAACAACTGCTTACACACAATTACCATTGACTTTCTACTAGTTAGAGCAGGAGATGTTCAAGCTACTCACTTCAAAACTGTATGTACTCAATGTTTTAATACATTTGTTTCATGTTAAATTTTACTGGACAGAAAAGTAGAAAATTGTACCAAATAAAGCTAAAAAAACAACTGAATAAGAGGTAAAAAAAACAAAGAAGACAAATAACCATCTATTGCTAAATATGTACATATATTTTTAACTTATATACAGTATATATAAGTTATAGTGAGCTATTTTATGTGCAGTGGTTACATCTATAAATTATTGCTCTGTGGTGTTTGCTTTATCTGGATTAACTGTTCATGAGAGTGATGGCCCAGGCGAAGAAACCGTCCTTGTCTGGTTGTTTTGATGTACAGTGTCCTGTACTCATGATTCTTCTTTACTGTAAATCTGTCTTTCATAATCTGCAGTCCTTGAGTTACCTGACCAGTGACTTGTGTTTATTGCAGAGGATCCAGGTTTGATTTGGATTGTGATTGGTCCAGTCATCTGTTTCATCCTGCTGCTGTTTGTGGGAGGTGGAGTCTTTTGGATCCTCAGGAAGAGGTTGGATTTATGACTGGCATATGCTGCCTATCAGAGTGAACCATCCTACTGAACGCGTGCAGATTAGTATTTTCCTTACAAACCTACAAAGGCATTTGAGGTAGATGGTGTTATGTTTGACTACTTTGAGCCCCGTAGCTATCATTGGAATGTGACAGGATAAATAAAGAAAACAGATTCTCTACAAAGCAAGGAAGTACAGTTATACAGGAGAAAGATCACATCTTGTTATGGCTTTCAGTGTCTCAGATGTTTTTTGGGTTTGTGTTAAAGGCAAACAGAAGGCCCCACGGGACCTCTAATCGCCTCCTCAAACCCTGAGTACATCAGTGCTAATGATGGTAAGAAGAGCATCGTAACAAAATTGTGAACAATGACATCATGTGCATATCTTTAGATTGTTGCAAGTCTGAACTCATTGTAACTATATTCAAAAAGATAGATGCTGCCTCATGAAGGTTTGAGGTGGTAATTTGTGTCTCTGTTTATGTAGTGTATATTCCTGATGAGTGGGAGGTGCCCCGGGAGAAGATCACAGTGCTCAGGGAGCTGGGTCAGGGCTCCTTTGGCATGGTGTATGAGGGAATCGCCAAGGATGTTGTCAAAGGAGACCCGGAGACACGTGTAGCCATCAAGACGGTCAACGAGTCGGCCAGCCTGCGGGAGAGGATTGAGTTTCTCAACGAAGCTTCGGTCATGAAGGCTTTCAGCTGTCACCACGTGGTACGGCACGCTTTTCAAACTCTTTCCTCTTGCAGCCTTTTTACTGACTCAAAGTGACACTGAAGCAGCTGTCTACACCGTCACAGTATGCTACAGCATGCCTTAGTAGCATTTAGTAGAAACCACCAGCATGACACTCCAAAGAGTGAGAGAATTGACACTGATCTATTAATGTGTGTCATCTCATCTGCTGTCTGCTTAATGGCAGGAATAATTCTTTTAAAGTTGAAGCAGTTAAGATACCTTACCCACAGTGAAGTGAAATACTGATCTGTGCTCCTATATATTAAACTGTAAAATGTGAAAATAACTGAGGTCAAATTACAGACATCACTTGATTATGAACAGTGTGTAGTCCTTTTAGTATGTACCCACTGAAGTTTAAGTGATCGAAACTCTTTGGACAATTTAACATTATTATATCTACATTTAAAGTATGATTAAAAAAAATCTTAATATCTTTTTAACAACTGTGTTTCAGGGCAGCTTTGTTGTTTGTATAAAGGGAAATTGTTCAGTTCACATATAAATGACCACGTGTGTTTTTCAATATTTCTCTGTGTAGGTACGTCTCTTAGGTGTGGTGTCCAAAGGTCAACCCACCCTGGTAGTGATGGAGCTGATGACCCATGGTGACCTGAAGAGCTACCTGCGGAGTCTCAGGCCAGACTCTGAGGTAAATGTCTCAGAAATTCCATATCTTTAGAGACATTTACATAGGTGAACCCCAGACGGTGTCTGCAGAATCTGGCCGGGACTTGATCCGATGTTGCCCCTTCATACATGTATCACACATGTTGGGGGGGTGCACAGAAGGCAGGACATGGCACAGTCACGTAGCCGGTTTGTAATTTGGTAGTAATTTGCCATTCCTTAAATTTGTCTGACGATTCTGGTGCCGGGTCTTAACAAAAGAAGTTCCCGAATCTTGTCATGTCTCCAGTTACATGTTTTCGTTGGTGTCTTCATTGTAAATGATCATTTTTCTTCAACATCGGATGTTTATATTCTTCTGATTTTGTGCCAGTCACATGATAGAACATACCCTCTAGCTCCGTGTGAATACTCCGGACTCTGCACTGCTGTATTCTCACATGGGCTCACTGGGATCATATGTGGACATTGTACTAGGGAGCTGGCAGGATAAAGTCCACTTAAGGTCCGGGTCAACTGATTTGCATTCTCACATACAGCTCCTCCGGGTAATGTCTGGAGAATTTCGGGGTTCCACTGCATGTCTGAAAGGGGCTTCTGTTAAAAAGTCAACCCAAAGTAATCATTACAGCTACCTCTGATAGGTCCACATGCCACTCATGGACTGTATCACTGTGTTTTTGTGTGTTTGTGTTGTAGAATAACCCCACAGGCCGGCCACCACCTACACTGAAGGAGATGATCCAGATGGCTGCAGAAATTGCAGATGGAATGGCCTACCTCAATGCCAAGAAGTTTGTCCACAGAGACCTGGCAGCCAGGAACTGCATGGTGGCAGAGGACTTCACAGTCAAGATCGGGGGTACTGCAGCCTGCCGTAGCTTTGTCTTTGTTGTTCATATTGCAGTTACAATCCATCTCAGTTCTGTGTTATGGTTGAACTGAATCAGTTGTAACAGTCTGTTTATTAACTGTAATACATTTTACTGCGTGAACGCTCTCTCTCATAGACTTCGGTATGACGCGAGACATCTATGAGACAGACTACTACCGTAAGGGAGGGAAGGGCCTTCTTCCTGTCAGGTGGATGGCTCCAGAGTCTCTGAAGGACGGAGTCTTTACCGCCCACTCTGACTGCTGGTAGGTCACACATCAGTAGTCGTTTGCCATCCCAGTTACGTTCCTGGTTCATTTGATCACATTTGCTTCTGTGTGTGCATATGTAGGTCATTTGGTGTTGTGCTGTGGGAGATCAGTACGTTGGCAGAGCAGCCGTACCAGGGTTTATCCAACGAGCAGGTTCTAAAGTTTGTCATGGATGGAGGATACCTGGACCGGCCAGAGAATTGCCCTGAGAGAATGTGAGAACAGACACGTTTTCAATCCTTTAACATCAGTTTATCTGGACAGTGTGACACAGTATCATGGGTAGAAGGTACCCCTATTGATAACTTGCATGTACTGATTTTGTTTGGGACACAGTTATAACTAATTTAAAAAGTATAATCTGGATTATAACTGTGTGAGGGACAATGTTATAATTTAGGCTTTGTGTGTCTTTCTTTATCCTCTTCCCCAGGCACAGTCTCATGCAGATGTGCTGGCAGTACAACCCCAAGGTGCGGCCAGCGTTTCATGAGATTATCGAGATCCTGCGGGATGACCTGCACCCGTCTTTCCAGGAGGTCTCCTTCTTCTACAGTGAGGAGAACAAAGTCCCTGAGTCAGAGGAGTTTGACCTGGACCTGGACAACATGGAGAGCATTCCCCTGGACCCGTCTTCATACTCACAGAGAGAGGAGAGCCTATGCAGGGACAGCGGGCCCTCTGTGGCCCTCCGGGGGAACTACGAGGAGCACGTTCCCTTTTTTTCGGCAAGAAAAATGGACGAATTTTATCGTTGCCCAGATCCAGTCCTTCCTAACATTTCCTGTTTCCTAAAGAGAACTAATTTAGTCTCCCGTCCTTTTTCCTCTGTTTTTTCTGTGTCCTTCATGCGATTGTCTCATCATCATTTTCTAATGTTTTTCTTACTCTTGGAGAAGCCCTTCAAAAAAAAAAAAAAAAAAAAAAAACAGATCTCAGGACCATTTTTTGCTTCCTCATGTTTGCCAGACTCAGGCAAGCAGGGGTTACAGACATGGTGTAACACTTTTTTAACTTACTCCACAAGACATCAGACCTTCTATTACCTATCAATTGCTCTTTGCTATTTCCAGGTCTCCAGGACTCATCATGATAGAAAAAAAAACTGTGAACACAACAAACCTTAGACAACCACGAAGGCTGTTTACACTCGACCTCCTCAAGATTCGTCCTTTTATCCTCTCCAAATCTGCATTACCACATTTCTGTTTTGACCTTTTTTTTCTCCATGTGAAATCTTTTTACTCAGATAGTGGCCTTTTTATATGTGGCCTATAAACAAAGAGAAGTGTCTATCAACACTAATTTCCTTTTGGACAATGATGTAATCAGTTTGGAACAGTGGGATGACTCAAAGACTTGATTCTAGAACAAAACAGCTTATTCCTAGAGGAATTTTTTTTTTTGTTTTTCTCTTTGGTTCTGCAGAATTCCAAACTACACACTGATATTTGGTGAATAGGTTTAATTTATTTGCTTGTATTGTTATTGCTCTTTTCTCTCCTCCTTTCTATCTTTGCTCTCTTTCTTTCGTTTCATTTCTGTGTCCTCAATACAAGGCTGAAGTATATTTAAACACTTAAGAATTGGACAAAAGAGTTCCTCAGACTGACCAGTAGCTGCGGCTTTGATATATTTTAGTGGGTATAGAAATGTATAAATATATAGATATATATATAATATATATAGTATATATGGAATATTGGTTGTTACATGCCAATATTTTATATATAATATAAGACATTGATGTTTTTGTAAATAGTTCATATTTGTAAGATTATTTCATCATAAGCTTTGCTACTATTTTGTTTTGCCAGGTTTTTAATAGACCCAGAAATCACACTAATCTACCATCAGTGCTCTCTGTGTCTTAAGCCTCCAGACCCCCCTCGAGTATTCTCACTTTCTGGGTGGGAAATATTGTCAACCTCATTCCCACTGAGAACTGTCGATATTTGGAGGCAGTTTTACTACATAAACGCTGAAAAACAAACAAAAGAAACAGGCTAACCAAAAATAAACCTTTACATATAAGGGGACTGAGGTCTTTCTAGGTCGAAGTGCACCTGATATGTGTTTGTCTCCGTGTTCGCTGTTTTTCTCCGGCCAGATCACACTGGAGTCTACGTTTGTATGTGTTTGTTATCACAGGCTTGTTATGCCTTTCTTGTGATTGTGCTAGTTGTCTAGTGTTAACTGCCAGTAAGGGTAAAGAGTGTGTTGACAGCTTGTCCTGAGTTAGTGATTGTACTTTCTCATATTGACATAACAGTAATGGGTTTTCAGATGCGCTGCTTGGATCGGGGCAGGTGGGAGTTGGCCCCGGCTTTCAGTTAAATGGAGGTGAAGTGGATGATAAGGCCCTTTTTTATATTTTTGTCTAGTTTGCGACCTGCACTGTAGTAGCAGTAGTTTTCCCTTCCCATCTGACCTGAGATCACACAGTTCAGGACCTCAGTTTAAGATAAAAGGTTTTATCAGATTCTCATCTTGCGTTCCCCTCTCATTGTTGCTATGTTTACTCTTCACCCCACACACACACCTCCCGCACACTCTCTCTCTCGCCCTCCTCAGTCTTCCTGTGGCTTCCCATTGGCTACTGAACTCACTGCTCAAAGTCAGGCTAGTGGAAATTTCCATGGTTTGTGGTTGAGGGCTGAAGAGAAATATGGAAAGTTCCAACTGTATTCAGAGTCCACAGCAGGTAGTGGAGGAAGCGGGCGGGCGGCGGGGGGGGGGTTAGCCTCTCTCTGCCTCTCTTGCTGTATGTCTGAGAGACAGATGGGGAGTGAGTGGATTTAATCCTGTTATTCTCTCTGCTGTCACATCCAGTTAGAAAGGCAGGACTCAGTGTGCAGCACCTACACTACCAGTCAAAGGTCTGGACACACTTTCCCATTCAATTGAATGGGAAAATGTGGCCAAACTGGTAGCATATGTCACTCAGGTCTGCTGCTCTTCTCCTCATGCTTCCAGTTTTGCGTCCCTGCTGGCAAAACTGATACCATCACCACATCAATGCACACATAAAAGACTGTTTTATCGCTTTTCCTTCTTAACAGTCAATTGCTAGAGATACATTGGCAGACATAGTTTCTTAAACATTGACTCATAGAGAAATGTGTTGCATTTTTCAGAGGCTTGTTTTACCTTCCAGGAATCAGAAACGTTCCTGTCAACTAGACCTTTACACAAAGCTACAGAAAGCTCGGCTGTCCTCGTCGTTAAGATCAGTAGTTCACTACAGCCATCAGTTTCACAGCAGAAAAATGCTCTTCTCTCACTTTCTAACCGTGTCAGTCAGCAACATGGGAGGGGATAGCAGATGAGTAGAAGTTAGCTTTTTTTTTTTTTTTTCTGGACAAAGAGCCGAAGGGGGGGGGGTAGCAGATGGGTAAAAGTTGGTTTTTTTTTTTTTTTTTCTGGACACAGAGCCGTGTGGTTGCCGATCCAGTTGAACAGCATTCAGCAGTTATAGTATAGCCAAAGTGTTGGCAGCTGTGGAGATCCCACAGAATTGGAGTCAGACAAAGCGGAGAAGCTGCCTACATATTTTACCAGTGCCTTCTCAAACCCAGAGCCACATCCAGACTAGTTCTACTGGCTAGTGTAACACACACCCAAACACAGACATGAGCAGGCCTCCTCGCTGTCTGTTTTTTCTACTGAGGCAGGACAGGAATAGAAATCGAAGCTGCATTATATTTGTGTTTGCCAGGTTAGAACTGTGTTCTTTGCTGGAAGAGAAGCAGAAGTATTTGGGGCAGGGTTTTTTTCTATTTAGTTATAGCTTGTTGCCAGCGTAAGGTTTGAACACTAAAGTTCACCCATTGCTTCAGCGGTGACACTGTGGACTGAGTCTGCTGTCAGCACTCAGAGGCACCTGAGGTTATGATGTAGATTTTAGCTAATTATTCTGAGGCGTTACAATCTTGGGCTTTTGTACTTTGTAAATAGTCTGTAACATAGTTTAGAAAATAAAATAGGGGGTAAAAAGATATATACAAAAATCCTCATTTGTTGTGTGTGCATGACCTAAAAATGGTGGGCTTGAGCTGGGTCACAATTCCACGCTGCATACTTATATAGTGCCCTTGACATCTCTGTTTGTACTTAATTTTCCAGTATAAACACACAACCCAGTTAGAATTAGCATGTAGCATGGCAGTGGGACGTAGCTCTCCTCTCCACCTTGGCTTAGGTTGCTTATCTCGTGGTGTTCACATGCATATGCAATTTTAAAATTAAGATGATGCCCATATCTTTGAAATATCAGATATTTATTTTATTATGAGCATTGTCATTATGTAAGAAAAACACGGTTAGCTTTTTAGTCAAGCGTTTTAGCGTGTTTGAGAGCTGAACGAGGTAAAAGCCAGGTTTGTTATTGTACAGGTGGAGTAGCTGGCGGCGAGCAGCAGGACCGTAGTTAGTTAGTTAGTTAGTAATTGCTGTCATCTTTGTGTTTGGCCAGTCTACCTCAGTGCATGTGGAGGAATCATTGTAAAGAGCCGAACTCAACCTTGTCAGTCACTCAGTATCCTGACGTTTCAAATACTGTCACTTTCATTGTACATTACCAACACTGCTGATGAATTCCTTTCCTCTGTGGTGACTAATGAAATCCCTCCACCCACTGGTTTTGTGTTTTCTCTTCTTCTTCATCCCAGGGGAAGCTCTCAGATTCCAGCAGCATGTGGATATAGTTGAGAGTACTACCTGTCATTTTATGGCAAAGCTCAATTCCAGTCATTGGAGTAGAGTTTAGAAACAACCTATTAAGTTACATAAGTATTAGCTTTCTCTTTGTGTTCTATTTATTTAATAGATTTTTTTATTAAAGGTGGCTCATCTGGCAGAGAATTGACTTTATGAACAGACAAAACATCGCTTTGGTTATTACTACAGTTTTTAAAATCACTCACAAGACACTTCCCTTCCTGGGCGCTGGAAGCAGCAGCATAGTTTTAGTGTGTGTTTCCCCCATGTTCCATGTGCACCAGTCCTCTGAACTGGATGTAGTAGCAGCTCTTCTGGTTTCTAGGGATGTGACATTAGCTTGAGTGCACATCTGTGATCACAGCTATGCTCAGCTCTGGACTCTCATGCTTTGTAAATTGAACACCCTACTCTTCTTCTGTCTGTTAGTTTATTTCTTTGTGGTCACTACAGTTGGTGTTTAAATCCCACATCTCCTCCAGTCATCTGATTATTCGTGTGTTTCTCTGTTATGATTTTTTGTCGTTTTTTTTATGTGTATTTTTTTCTACTGTGAATATCAAGAGATAACCTTTATTTTCTGTCAGTGCCATGGATTGGTTCTGTTGCAGCTGATCAGGACACTGACGTCTGGGCTGGTTTAAACATTTTAAAGAGGAGGACCTCGTCTCCCTTCTCAGCAAAGGGAAAAAAAAACCTGGACTGGGACAATCCTGTGTGCCATAAGCACTATTGACAGACAGACAAGTCTAGATTGTAACTTTTTTGACTCAGGGAGGCGGCTTGATGCTTTGTGGTTGGAGGATAAAGAGGATGAGTGGGAAGAAGAGCTATCTACCTGCCTACCTTTTATCTACTCTGACTGAAATGCAAGTTTTCAGCATCCTTGCAAACAGCAAAATGGAGATAAGCCCAAGGACAAGTTTCAAAAACACAAACCCAAATACCCTTTTCATCCACCTGAACCATTTTTTCCCTCAGAAGATGATCAGGAGTAATCTTTTCTCTCTCTCTCTCTCTCTCTCTCTCTCTCTCTGACATGATGTGGACTGGACTGCCCCCTATCTGTTGGAAAGGAACGTTGCAGGTCAGGGGTGGCAAAGCAAACAGGGCCTGCGACCCATAGTGCCTTGTTCAGACTAATGGCCCCCACCTGACCCCCCGTCCTCTGAGCAGAACCACCACTGACTAATGTGTCTCCACCGATCAC